GATCACGCCCTGATCACGCATCGCTTGCATGTTGGGTCAAATTGCTGATACACTCCGCCACCGCATCACAATTTACAATGTTTGCGTCACTTAACACTTCGATACAATAATCTGGCGGGGTCACTTTGCTTGTTGACAGTCTCTTGTTGGTTTTTCTCCTCAGTAAATAGCCTAGTTTCTGGCTATCTTGTTCATGATGTTGTAACAGCATAGTCCAGTTGCCCTGAATCTTGTTTTTCACAGCTGCTCCTAGGGCTCCGAGTAGCATGAATGAAAACTGAAGACTGATTGGTTTTCATTCTGTTGTAGCCTGAGAAATAGATGCTGAAACTATCCTTGCTGGGGACAGATTTAAGAGTACACAGCTGCCTGCACAGTTGTATGGGTTAGGGTATTTTTGTATTTAAATAAAAGTTTGAATTATAACAGCAGTTAATCAACTATGAAAGCTTTCTACTTGACACAGGGGTAATTATGTAATTGTATTCAGGACTCCTCTCTACACTTTGTTTTAGATTGACTTGATTTAAAGTACTGAACTAATTAGAAAACAGGGGGAAGAGATTTGTGTGTGGCTGATACCACTTTTGATGGGAATAATTTTCCAAACTAGAGAGTGTTGATGGAAGGAGACTGTTTGTGAAGTATAATTGTTAACAAAAAGGGGTTAATTAATAAGATTAGCAGATATTCGTAATCTTTACCAAAACAAAATAAATGGCACAATAGACTATGTTTTAGGTCTACTACTTACCTGCCTTAAAAGGGGAACAAAGAAAGGTTAATTTCATCTGATGCATCTAGGCCAGTGTTTCTCAGCCTTGTTAGACTTGGGGCATCTCTTGGAAAATGTAGGCTGTTAGGCTGCATACAGACAATACTTTTCTATGAGGAAACAGGCCAGTTAACACTATGGATTTCTGGTTGAAATCTCTGGGTTTATCTTGTGAGTCATGTGTTGGTGGTTGCACACCTAACAGTGCCAATATTGTGCAACATATATAAAAAGAACTTGAGGCACCCTGGTTGAGGATCGCTGATCTAGGCTAATACAAGTTTATTTTCCACTGCTATATCTTCAACTATACTTTTCTAAATTAGTTTAGTTTAATGAGTGAGTTTTGTATCTTTATTGTATATAATACCTGTTTCTCTTGAGGAGTTCTTAGAGTACTAACACTTCATTTATGTTTTTCAAAACTTTTGGGCTTCATTCTACTTGCTGGGGAGTGCTGCTAGCACCTTGTATTATTTATTGGGTATTTTAGAGCCTATTCAAGTACTGAATTCTTAAGTAGAATTAAATAAAACTGAAGATTTTATTTGATAGATGTTTTGATAAATATTTGCTAATTAATGTTTTGCATGTGTACACGTATTTGTTGCTAAATAAGAAAAAGACAATTTTTAATACTTTTGAAGACACTGAAAAAGTATTTTTAAAGAGGATACATTTTTGCTCAGAAGATGGTCATGGACCATGGTGTGTTAAGAAAATTTAAATCCTATTTAAAAGGATAAAACTAGATAGACCAGGGTGGTTGTTTTAATGGAAACTAAATTTTCCCATTCCTAAACATCTAAACGGCATCTACCTGTTTATTGCAGAAGTAAAACTTAACCTTCTTATTAAAGTAGATACATTTAGAATATTTATTGTATTAGTTTCCTTTCACATACGAAGCTTTAAAGATTGTTGACTTCAAAGCACACCTTACAAGTAATCCTCAGAGCTTATTAGAGCTCTTAAATTTACCATTTCAGTTTTACCACTTGTACGAGATGCTTTCCTTTAGTGTGGTGCGTTTTCTATGTCCCAGTTATCAATAATACCTATATATATAGCCTGATGGCAAAAACAATATTCATGGTAAAAAAACCCAATAACCCCCACAGTATCCAGTTCTAGTCTTTATCTGTTTGAATTAAAATGGGCAAAATTAAGTTGAATGCTGTAGTAGGAGTTATGTACAACTAAAGGAAGAAGTATTCTATGAAGGTCTAAAAATCCCTGTCTTTGGAAAATGAATTTAGAATGAATCATGTTTCACTAACTCTTTTTCTCCTTTTTACAGTCACACTTTATTTCTGCACTGACAGTGGTGTTTGTAAACTCCAAATCCCTTTCATCACTTAAGATAGATGATACACCTGTAGATGACCCATCCCTTAAAGTATTAGTGGCTAACAACAGCGATACACTCAGATTGTTAAAAATGAGCAGCTGTCCTCATGTTTCTCCTGCAGGTGAGCTGTCATGTGTTAGTTTAAGTCTGACTAATATAGCAAGTTTCTGAAAACTTGTGGATTTTTTTGGTGGGGTCTTGTTGCAGAGGGAGTGGATAACCAGTAAGTATTTGAAGGCTCTACCATTTCATAAATTCCTGTTCAGCCTTTGTTCCATAAAAGTATCAAAACCTGTCTATTTGGCTAGTGCTAAAAAAATGCATGATTAGGGACTTACCAAATTAATAATTTTGTGATTTGCGGAAACCACAAATTTAGTAGATCCCCCATGAAAGAGCCCAGTTCACACACACAAAAAAAAGCAGGGGAAAGCGGGGTGCAAGCAGAGGAGGGAAGTCTTGCTGTCCTGATGCACTGGGAGTGGAGAGGGAGCATGTCTCTGGCCGAAGGGCCCCAGAAGTCCTGCCCCTCCCCAGAGTGTGTCAGGTGGCTACCTGTAAATCTCTGGGGAGGGGCAGAACTTCTGGGGTCCCTTGGCCATTTGGGTCAGGGGGGGCGCTGCACTCTGTGAAAAAGGCATCAGGCACCATGACGGGACTGCAAAATTCTGAGGCAGCCTCCATGAATTAGGTAGGTCCCCATCACAACAGTTCATTATGACCATGCCTTGAATTTTGGAGTGGAGTAGATTATGATGTGGCTGACTTCCTTGCTCCTTAAAAAGAACAACTTTTATCTTTCAGCGTGAAAACAAGAGTAGATACAGGCCATGGACTAAGAGTGTACAGCCATTCAAGTGGTTCTTGTGGAAGAGAGTTTCAATAACTAGAAATTAGTTGTTATGTATATAATAGAAGTACATATTTGAAAATTATGAGGAGAAATTATAGTCCAGTAAAGGATTATTGGAATTCACAATGCAAAAAGTATTAGAAATTATCTGAATTCACATCTTTCACAAAAACCTTGTGTATAATTTTAATGTGAACAAATTCTCAAATTGCAAATCTGTTACTGAATCCAACAAAACGATTTAACATTTATCAGCATGGTAACTGCAGTGTCTTTTAAAACTTTTTTAACCACAGTTAACTTACCTAAGATGATCTTTTTTAAACAGTAGCACTAAAATAAATGTTTCATCTTTTTTTGTATTGTTTCTTAAATATAGAAAATTTATACCGTCATGATTTTGCTTTTGTGACTTTACAAAATCATCCTAAGTTGATCTTTTTTTTTAACATCATGGTCTTGACTAGATATTAAGACTATAGTAGAAATTTGACATTACCCATTTAAGAAACAAAGAACACAACTGCCATTTCCCTTTTAAGTGCTGAGGTGGATGGAGCGGAGTCAGTGGAGTGGAGTGAAAAAGTGAAAAACCTTGGCTAACGCTAAGCAACTGGAAAGATAATTTGGCTGAGGTATGATTGAGGTCTAGGTGTGCCTGGATAGAGAACACACTGGAAATGAATTAGCATGTAGACATTTGGTTATACAGCATATTTAAGCTCCAGAGTAGGCAGGATAGTAAAGAAGTAACAATGTCTAAACAAAAAAGAGAAGGAAACTTTGATATTCAGACTCAAAACATTTTCAGGGAAGAGACCCAATTACAGGATTGCTATAAATTGCTAAACAATTTGAATCCTTTTATTGAACCTAAAGAGCTAACCACTTGTGGCAATATTAAAATGGCAGAAGTCATTTTGTAAAGCAAGGGTCTAGGGGTAAGTTCATTGCTAGATCAGCATTCATATTGAGAACTGACCAGGGAGCAGATTGAGTGAAGATAGTACCCTGAGAGGAAAAAACAAAATACAATAAAGACAAAACTATTACAACAGTAAAAGAAAGAACTGAGGTAAATCTAGGAATTCCATCCAAAAGATGCTGCAAATACTCCTGTAAATGTCTGGCTTTGGATTGGGGTTGAAGGAAACATAGGAAATGGTATTGTTTTGTTCTCTTATGTGCCTTATACACATCTCTAATTCTACTCATCACCTGATCCTTAACTGCCATCCGAAAAATTTGATAGAAACTTTTGCAAAGCAATATAATTATAACGTGTAAATTAATATTGTTATGCTGTTTTTATATTATCTAAAGTATCAGCAGTTGCATCAGAGGGGGATGAAAGAATTAACTGTGCCCTTTGTCAGTGTTTTTGGAAAAGATTCTACTTGACATTTTTCTCTTCTTTCCAAGTAAAAAAACACTATAAAAGTTAGCTTTTGGATTATTTTGGAAGGACGCCAACTGAAAGCATATTTGTAGTTTTGATGTAGATGTTAATGAAGAATTGTAGTTGCCTTTTGTGAAATAATCCAAATTGGTTAAAATCTAGAGATAAGAGAACAGTGCATTTTCAAATTAAAAACCCAAGACTCAGTTTAAAATCTTTTTGTGTGCTTTAAAAGGTTAGAGGCTGTAAACCAAAAGTCAGTCTTATGTATTTGAATGGCTATTAACATGATGGTATCTTGCGTGTCTCCCCATCTTATGCATCTTTAATGCCTCGGCAAATTAGAGAAGGACCATCATCCCTGTGCCACAGAGAATGCGGGGAGGGGAAGGAGGTTCTTCTCATCTAAACAAAACACAAACAGAAGTTAAAGGCGAATATATATTCATAAAACCTGTTTAGCCTCAGCAAGAGGAGGCTGAGGGGGGACCTGGTGGCTGCCTACAAACTCATCAGGGGAGATCAAAAGCAAATAGGTAGAGCCCTTTTCTCCCCAGCACCACCTGGGGTGACAAGGAACAATGGTAAAAAGCTGATGGAGAATAGGTTTATGTTAGAGATCAGAAGGCAATTTTTTAGTTAGGGTGGCCAAAATCTGGAACCAACTTCCCAGGGCAGTGGTCCTCGCCCCTACCTCGGGCAAATTCAAGAGGAGGTTGGACGATCTCCTGTCTGGGGTCTTGTGAACCCAGCATTCATTCCTGCCTGTGGCAGGGGGTCAGGCTACATGATCTGTTCAGGTCCCGCCTGACCCTAGCTACTATGAAAGTATATCCAAAACTGCCAACCAAAAATCTCTTTATTGGAATCCACCAAGTCCTGGTGGAGTGTAACCTTACTTCACCAACTGTAATAGTTACATTTGGCCATAGAATGAAACTAAAAAAACAAGGATTTTTAGACTAGACATTAGGAATAGCTTCTTCACAGTTAGTGGCCAAAGTCTGGAATGGACTCCCAAGGGAGGTGGTGCTCTCCCCTACCCTGGGGGTCTTCAGGAGGAGGTTAGATAGGCATCTAGCTGGGGTCATCTAAACCTAGCCCTCTTTCCTGCCTATGCAGGGGGTCGGACTCAATGATCTATTGAGGTCCCTTCCGACCCTAACATCTATGAATCTCTAAGGATAGGTAGTACTCAAGTAATCTTGTGCAGGAATGTCAAAGATATGGCCTACAGAACTCCTAGGGGGGCTGGGAATTTGGAGGCAGAGGGATAAGTAACAACTGTGTTAACTTCCACTCCAGGAAGTTTCCTGCCATCTGGATATGGCCCAGGGGCCTCATGTGAGTGACACCTGCTAACAATGTTCTGTGTGCTCCTTAATTGGCAAGCTGTTATTGACCAGGGGTGTTCTGCAGGGTTAAAAAAAATCATAATATCACAGAAAAGTAGAGCTGGAAGGGACCTCATGAAGCAGAAGGGAAGTAATCAACAGTAGGTACAGGTACATCTTGCCCCAAACAGGACCTGAACCCACAATCACTTGTTTAGGAAGCCAGTGCATTATCCATGATGAAATAGCCACTCTGCTTAGAAGTTGCTGCTCCCAGTTCTTACTTGCCTTTTTTCAGCTTGCTGCAGCCCTTTTAGAATAGTGGCACAGACAGGAAGAGTAATTTAGAATTAGGAGCAGCAGCTGCCTAGGTAGGCAGAAAGCAAAATGCATGCCTCACCAAATTTATTTTTTTTTTTAAACAAAACTAAACCTAGTTCTTCGTTAAAGGCTTTGTACCTTCTTACTAAAGATCCTGAAGTAAACCAACTTTGTGCTTTTTTGATTCTCTTTTTCAAAGTGGTGATGATCTCCATATTTGTATTATTTTTGTTTATGGTACTGTCTTTCATCCCAAATCCTCAGTGAATATTCAAAAAACCCTTATGCAGCTAACATTTGTGTGGTGTGTGTGTTTAGTATAGGAAGAATTGTTCTCTTCAGCAGAAGAATCTTTGCATACTAAACAGCAGGCATCAATTTGGGATGATGCCTTGTCTTTCTCCCAACTCCACTGAGGGTTATAGGAAGGAGCACACTAATTCAGGGAGTTTTGGTCTTCCCACTAGCAGCATCTTTTAATTTGGCAAGATAAATTCAGCTACTACCTATAAGTATGCTGCTGCAGCATGTCTGTCCGTCTGTGTCCATCTGTCCACTTGCAGAACATGGGCTCTGCAGACTTCTAAATAACTGTATCCTAAATTGTTTCTTGCTGGACTGCTTCCCCTAAACTTGAATTATTGACACTGCTATACTGGTGGTAGCAGGGTCTCATTAGGGCATCCTGACAGCTGTCTATATCACAGCTGGGCTGTTAACAGCCACTTGGGGGGGTCTGAAAGGAGAGGGCAGACCACAGGTGCTGGGGAGTCCTGGAGACCCATGTAGTGCTACATGTAATTCAGTAGCCATTACATATGACACCACAAAACATAGTACTACAAAAGTGCGCCTTTCAAACAGGTACTATTCTGTAGTGCTTGGGCCATGTTTGTTGGACTACAGGCTGCTTGTGTGCAGGTACAGTCACATTTTGTAGCCTTACGAGGGCTTTGTCACACTACAAATGTAATGGCTGCCCATACTGAAAGTCTGATTGAATGTCAGGAGTTTGAGACAAATTCTTTCTTGGACAGTTTATAAGCATCTTGTCATCCAAGGTGATCTTATTCTGGTGTCTAAACTTTCTGAATTTTGATGCTGTTCTGACACAAAAATTAACATTTGTTTGAGTTTAAATTCAAGATAACTCACTGTGTGATACTCTCTTTGATTTATTATAATGGTTTTTCATGTTCTCCTTTACAAGGTATCCTTTGTGTTGCTGACCAGTGTCATGGCTTATGTGAGTTGGCACTGAACTACCATCTGTTAAGTGATGAGCTTCTACTTGCTTTGTCGTCTGAGAAACATGTCAGATTAGAACATTTACGCATTGATGTGGTCAGTGAGAATCCTGGACAGACTCAATTCCACACCATTCAAAAGAGCAGCTGGGACGCTTTTATCAAGCATTCTCCCAAAGTAAATTTAGTAATGTACTTTTTCTTGTATGAAGAGGAGTTTGACCCATTCTTTCGTTATGAAACACCTGTCACTCACCTGTACTTTGGGAGGTCAGTAAGCAAAGATGTACTTGGTCGTGTTGGAATGACATGTCCTCGATTGGTTGAACTGGTTGTGTGCGCCAATGGATTACGGCCACTAGATGAAGAGCTGATTCGTATTGCAGAACGCTGTAAGAATCTATCAGCAGTTGGCCTAGGGGAGTGTGAAGTCTCTTGCAGTGCCTTTGTTGAGTTTGTGAAGATGTGTGGTGGTCGCCTCTCTCAGCTCTCTATAATGGAGGAAGTCCTGATTCCTGATCAGAAGTACAGCTTGGAGCAGATTCACTGGGAAGTGTCAAAGCATCTTGGTAGAGTCTGGTTTCCAGACATGATGCCCACATGGTAAAGTCCTCAAAGACTTAAGAGCATGTGAAATAGCACCTTAAATATGAGCATATCATATTGCAACTTACTGTATAAGCTTATTTAATAATATAGTTTAACTATAACGTCACTGCATTATATTTTTTTAAATGATGTCCTATTTAACACTTGTTTTTGAAATCCAGATTTAAGCATAGAAAATGTGGATATTTCAGAAACAGATTTTTGTCCAAATAAAAGCGGTCTCTATTTTAGATTTGCTTTTATGCCATTGATAGTGACCCTGAATTTATGTACAAAATAACACTATTTAAAAATATTGAAATATTTAAAAACTCTAGTTGTGAAATATCAATCATGAATAAGAATATTTTGTCCCTTCTTGGTTTAGATAAATATTGAACGTAATTGAAGTTGATTTACAAAGGGAGAAGAGATTGCTTGCTTTATTGCAGATTATAGCAGTTACCTACAATGTTCAAATTGTGACAGCTGTCTAGACTACAAAATGTTAAGATTCTATGGAGCATTTGGTAATCTGTGTAATTTATACATTACAATGTAATAACTATAAGAGGCAAGAGCAATACATAGTAGTATAGTTTATACATATTAAATTTGCTAACTTTATTTGTTCCTCAAAATAAGTTAGTGTGCAAAGTAGTAGTGATGAGGGTTATCAAAAGCTTTTTTTTTCTCTATGCAGTTTTTTAATGTAAACTTCACATTTTAGGGTCTTCAGATCCATATGTAAACCTGTTTTAAGGTATTAAATATAGCTCAGGAAGCCAACACATTCTGCAAGAAAACATTGATAATACTCTCTTTTAGATAATGGTTGGAATAAATGGGCTTTATTTAAACGTTTGCAGGATTTGATCAGATGGAATTCTGTATGTGTCTAGACCAATGGGAAGCTAAAAATGTTGGAGAGAAATGTTGAATATAATAATGGCCGTTAAGAGAATAATGGGGACCCATTTGACAAAATAGTCGAAGACCCATTAACTGCTTAAAATTTTAAGAGAAAAATAGCTTTGTAACTAACAGTTGCCTAAACTTTAAACTGATTGCTATTCTGTAAATCTGTCTTCGGAAATGTTTATGTATGAAGTGAATGTTTGATAGCTATCCATTTTTGTACACCTTTTATTTCAACTAGTTACAGACCATTTCATAATACTTAAAATTCTAAAAGAGCAGCAGAATTGTGTGAACTAAGCAACCAGTAATAGAGAGCAATATACAGAAATTAAAAGGAAATTTGGCAAAATTAAATGATAAATAATATCTATCAAAGAAAATATTAGTTTATATGAATTTTGCTGGTGGCTAACTTCATCTTTGAATTGTACAGCCAACTATAGTAGTAAATAGATTTTCTTCTAATTTCATTGATGGTCATCATGCTCAAGGGTAAACTGTAATAAATTTATAATAGCGTATTTAAGTTCATAATTATATTTTTGAGCAAACATTGCTCAGCAGACCATCTTTAAAAGGAAAGCTGTATGTTTCTGTAGAGCTTTGGTTTAAAAATCCCACTTTATTGAATAGGCAGTTTTTGTATTAGAATTTGTTAAATTTAATGTAGTATATAATTTGCTTTCATCTGTACAAAGATGTCAATACATTTAATCTCTGTAAAAGAAATATACTAAGTTTGTTGATTTTTAATATGTTGACGTTGATACTTCAAAGGATCAGTCTGGAATTTCATTACAGTATTTTAGGCAGACAAGGTTCCTTGGGTGAATTTGATATATCTTTTATTGGGTTGGTCTGATAAAAGATATCAAATTCACCCAAGGAACCTTGTCTGCCTATGTCCTTAGCCCAACACGGCTAAAAACCTACACCCCTGCATTACAGTATTTTGGAAGCCATAAATGTTATTGATGCACTAAATTCATTTTTGAAGTAACTTCTTCCAATAATATGACTAAAACGTCGTTCTGAGAGGCAAACTGTGAAAGTCAGTCCCTCTGAGAGAGGGAGAGAGCAGCATTTGATCTATGCAACTCCATAAACAAGAACAGTTGTGGAAGGCAAGACACATTTACACCAACATATCTCCAATTATTTTGTCACAAGGAATTTCATTCATTTCAAGTCTGTCTTTCTGTTTGAAACCATTCAACATCAGACCATGAGAGGGGAAAAAATGCATGCATGTGGAAGAAGGCTTCTTAGTTATAACTATATAAGGTAATTGGGGATGGGGAACACAAGTTTATTTGCAAAGCCTTTGCAGTTAGAAATACAACAGTAACAATTCACCTTCAACTGAAGAAAATATAAGCTCTCTTAACCTCGCCTATTTAGGATGATGGACAGCAGTATAAAACTAAGATTTTCTTTATCAATCAGTTTCAAAGAAGATGTAAATACATTGAAGATAAGCCATCAACTTTTTCATGGAAGCTTCTTGTATGAGTTAAATGTTTCATTTATAAAGTTTTACAATACTTCACATTTACACTTTATATATGTGCAAATACTGAAGTATAAAATGAATTTGATTACTACTACATTTATGTACATGTACCTACTTTAAGTATATTTCAACACCACTATTAAATTTCTTTTCTCAAAATTATATTACTCATGATCTAGCTAACACTATCAATTTTTAATGAATTTAGGAATAGATCTGACACGTTCGTAGCTGGGTTGGGGGAGGTTCTGCATAAATACTTGCATTGATGGTGTTCCGAAGCTAATAATTGATTTAGTTATACAGATATAAAAACCATTTTTTGATATCACCCCTAGGTCTTAAGAGTCAATAGATAGGAATTATACTGTCATAATATTGTCCTGGAAAGATTAAAAGGGTGCATACTTAAACAGTTTGGATTTGTTAGCACCTGTGCAACTCCATTTACTTCAATGAAATTAGAGCAGGGTTGAACTTGGCCACTTAAATCATCAACACCTCGGTTGTGTTGCTGTGTTGCTTCAGAAAGAAACAACAACCTCTCATTGTTTTGAGTCACCTGCCTACAAAAATAGTGTTAAATTAAGTAGTAACTGGGTGTGCCTACACAAGATGTTTACTGCGCAATTAACTAATTAGTTGCTCAGTAAATGCTTCAGTGTCTATGCATGCACCCCTATTAGGCTAGAGTAAACTTAATTTACTCTGCAGCAGGATAGTACTTGTATACAAGTACAAGTAAGTGCAAGTACATGCAAGTACAAGTACTATCCTGCTGTGGAGTAAAAAACAAGCAGCACACACATGGATGCTGCCCAGCTGGTTGGGGCATGAGCGTGTTTCAATTCAGGGGCTGCCTACTAGCTAGCCCTGCACTGAATCTCCCTCATGCCCCAGCCAGCTCTTCCATAGCACACTGGGCCAAGGGGAGCAGCCCTGGGCTGGCAGGCTGGCCCTCTAGTTCCCGTGCCAGCTGGGGCTGCGCTGCTCAGGCTTCATATGCTGTGTCTGAATAAACTGCGGAGCTTATTGCTCCCAGGTTCACATTCAAACGGTGCACTTGGGAGCGATAAGCTCCACAGTTTAGGCACCACAATTGCACATGTAGATATGCTCACTCTTATCTAAAATGGATACCATGCCAGGGAAGAAGTTTGGAGGAATTTTGAGGTGGCCAAGCACAGTGGTATTTCTTTTGTAATGTACATACTGCAAATACTACATCCTCATATAGTGAAGTGTAACAAATTCTGAAATAGGAAGAAACTGTTGGGTCCACGATGCCTACCAGTAGATTTTTGTGTCTGCCATCTGTCTGCATCTGATTGCTTGATGCTGTATTTATCAGCTCATCTTATTTCGATTAAAATTTGTCTCGATTGCTTAGATTCCATCTTCCAGTGCACATGTTCCAAGGTGCTAGTTGCAATTTTCTTGCTTCCCAGGGTCTTTTAATGGGATTTCCTTTGTCATGTTACAATTTGACCTTTCATGGACCCATTCATTTCACTTGTGGCTTTGAACAGAAAACATGGTTTTTCATTTCCACTTGGCTGCAGGGAGAGCTTGGGTGTTATCTGTTTTGCTATGGAAGCAGAAAAGAATGGCAAAAAAGACCAAAAGGATTTCTGTCAGGCAATTGAAACAGCCATATGAGACAACTCAGGCCAGTATGTCTAATGAAAATCCACACTGAAAAATGCAAACTTGGTTTCAATGTTGGGGTTGGAAGGCAAATCTGGTGTTTTGTTTGCCCACTTTACTATATTGTCCTTCTTGGACACTGCTCACAGATGTTTAGGGCTGGAAGGGACCTTGTGAGATCGTAGGGTTGGGCCACCCTGCTCTGGGCAGGAAAGACTGCTGGGGTCAAATAACCCCAGCAAGGTGTGCATCCAGTCTTCTTTTGAAGATCTTCAGGGTAGGTGCCTGCACCACCCCTGCTGGGAATCTATGCCAGAGTCTGGTCACATGAACCATGAAGAAGTTTTTCCTTAGATCCAGTCTGAAACTTTCTGCTAGGAGTTTATGACTGATGATCCTGGTTTTCCCCTGGGGCACTTTAGTGAATAATTGTTTGCCTAGCCTCTGATACTCTCCTCTGATATAAGCTGCCACCAAGTCCCTCCGAAGTCTTCTCTTTTCTAGGCTGAACAGTCCCCTATCTGTCAGTCTTTTCTCATGTGGCTTGCTCTTCAGGCCTCTAATCATATGAGTTGCTCTTCTCTGGACTCTCTCCAGCTTCTCCACATCCATCGTGAAGTGTGGCGCCAAGAACTGGACACAGTACTCCAGGTGCTGCCTCACCAAAGCTGAGTAGAGTGGGAAAATAACTTCCTCAGTTTTGCTTGAGATTAATTGGTTGATGCATGCTAGTGTAATGTTTGCTCTGCTAACTGTTCCATCACACTGGTGGCTCATATTCATTTTATGGTCAGTTATGATGCCCTGGTCCCTTTCGGACATGGTGCCAGCTAGCATAGCACCACCAAGCCTGTATGTTTGTTGCGGATTTTTCCTCCCCAGATGAAGCACCTTACACTTCTGTGGTGAACACCATCTGGTTCTGGTCCACCCATCTAACTAATCTCTAGGTCCACCTGGATCGTCAGCCTACCCTAAGGTGTGGCTGCACTTCCCCAAAGCTTACTGTCATCGGTGAACTTTGCCAGTGTGCTTTTCACCCCCACATCCAGATCATCAATGTAGGTGTTGAAAAGCACCAGTCCAAGTACCAAATCCTGAGGGACCCCACTGGCTACCTTCCGCCAGGTTGATACAGATCCGTCTATTGGTACTCTATGGGTCCGAACCTGCAGTCATCAACCACCCATCTGAATTGTTGAGCCCGTAGACCTATTTTTACCTTGAGAGCCTCATGGGACATCAAGTCAATGGCTTTCCTGAAGTCCAAGTAAATGATGTCGATCTCATCTCCCTTATGCAGGTAGTAAGTAACCTGGTCGTAGAAGTAGATGAGGTTAGTCAGACATGACCTACCCGTGACAAAACCATGCTGGCTGTCGTTCAAAATTTTGCTTTCTAGTAGCTTACTGCATATGGAGTCCTTGAGACATTTTTCGAGGCTTTTTCCTGGGATTGAGGTCAAGCTGATAGCCCTGTAGTTCCCTGGGTCCTCTCTCCTCCCCTTCTTGAAGATGGGCACAACATTGGCTTTCTTCCAGTCTTCTGGGACCTCTCCTGAGCACCATGAATTCTCAAAGGGGTTCACCAGTGGTCCTGTGATGACTTTGGCTAGTTTATTCAGCACTCTTGGATGGAGTTCATCCGGTCCTGCTGATTTATATAGCTGTGCAGCCTCTCTAGCTGTTCTTTCACCAGCTCTACATTGAGTGTTGGTAGGTGATCATCCCTACTGTGACTATTGTGTGTCATTTTTGCATTCAGCAGGTTATCACTGTTAGACTGGTGGAATACTTATGTACGAAGTACTTATTCAGGAGTTCAGTTTTCTCCTTGCTGTTGGTGACCAGCTGTCCAGATGCATTGAGCAGTGGTCCCACATTGCCATTGGTTTTCCTCCCATTACCTACGTACCTATAGAAGGACTTCTTATTGTCCTTGATTTCGGATGCTAACTGGAATTCAGTCACCACCTTTGCTTTTCTAATCTGCCCCCTACAGGTGTGGGCCAATCTTACGTAGTTCTCCTTGGGGCCTTGTTTATAAGCCTCCCTCTTTTTCAGATCTGCAACTTCCTTGTAGAGCCAAGATGGCCTCCCAGCCCTTGTGCTACATTTTTAGGTACTGGTATGGACAACTTCTGTGCACCAAGGATCGTATCCTTGAGGAATAACCATTCTTAATTCACACTTTTTCCCTGCGGTCCATGATCCCGTAGGGCATTACTCACTACAGCCCTTAGCTTATTGAAGTTAGCTTTTTTAAAGTCAAGAATTTTTAACTAGCTTACAAATTTCCCAGCCCTACGATTGAAAGTGATAGTGTCATGGTCACTGTCCCCTAGGTTATCCTTTATCTTCAGATCGCTCACCAAGTCATCACCCTTGGCCAAGACTAAATCTAGGAGGGCATTTCTTCTGGTCAGCAGGTATACTTCCTGAGATGGGTAGAGCTCGTCGATACAAGTCAGGAATCTGTGCAACAGGTCAGATCTGGTTGAGCTCACATTCTTCCAGGAATGAATCAGGTGGCCCAGCCCACGTGTGCCTGTCAGTTTTTGGGCAGCTCTGTAATTACAAATTAAGTTACAAGACAGATCCTCCTTTTTTGTAATGTGGTCCACAGATCAATGATGTTGTGCCTTTGTGTGCTGCAGCCTGGAGGCTGTCAGTCACTGTCTGGTTACATGTAGGTGCACTTCTAAGAGCCCACCAGGCTTTTGGGGGGAGGTTCTGCCTCTACAGTGGAGAGAATAAAGAGAAATTAGTGCTTTTGTGTTACAGAGCAGTATTTCCTCTACATCTTTCTAAAGTGTAGAGTCTCTACTATTGTGGATCCTCCTGCACTATTCATGATAGAATCATTCCTTTCTATTAAAATTGTTTTTGATTAGTGAGTACTTCATTGTGCTAGGTGTCTAGTGTGAAACTCCCCGTATGGATCCTCAGTATGTATTTTCCATTCATACTGAAGTTTAACTCTTTAAGTTCCACAGAGATAGGAAACTGTTCTTCTCTCCTCCTACCCTATTATATCTGTCCCTAATGAGCAAGGTTTTCTCCGATTAAAAAAAAAAATCCCCAATTTTTGGATTTAAAAAAGTAACCTAAATCCACATTTTTCCACGATCAATGGCAGTGTTTCATTTTGATCACAGAATTGTGGATGTTGGATTACTTTTTAAATCTGAGAAAAAACAGGATCCCTGCTAATGAGAAACTGGGGTATGGTTTAGATCTTGGCATTATGTATATTCATCACAACTCCAAAAGGCAATAGTTTGCTCTTAAGCTGCTGTTGAAGCTTGCTTTCCCTTAGAATTTCCATTTCCAGTTGACTAAAATTTCATACCATTGCTTTTTTCCCCAAAATCAGTGTTTATTCCCTCAGAACTGTGGTAATTTTTTTTGACAAAAGACCTCACACAACGCTGTGCAAAAAATTCTTCAGAACCAACTGATCACCTGTATGCAGCCACAAGTCA